TCATACATAAATAACTAAATATATGCTTCTCTATGAATATTTATTTATGACCAAGAATCCTTGTTAACTGATATTCTAAAATTTATAGCAAATATATAATAATCAAAAGTAGCATATTGAAATATATATTCCAAATATTTCAGCATAGGCACATTCTCTTAATTTAGCTCATATGGATGTGTAAAAATAAAAGATTTTGAAAAGACATATAGAATTAATTAGAGACAGTATGTTATGAAATATATGGTGTTACGTTTGCCTTAATGTGCACTGTGAACATTCAATAAGGAATAATTTGTTAAGACAGTGTTCAGGTCAGAGAGAAGTGGAGTTGCAGATCACCATTCTAATAAAATTTCTGGAATATCACTAATATGAAGTTTCAATCTTTGTAAGAATAAAATTTGTATATCAGCATACAACATAATATAAATTGTGTGCCTAATGAGGAAGTGTATCAATTTTCTAGAGATCTAAAGTATAGTTTTAAGTTGCCCAAATTACTCTTGTTACTAAATGTTTCTCTATACAGAAATCATAAATTAGGGCCGGCCCTGTGGCTCACTCGGGAGAGTGTGGCACTGGGAGCGCAGAGGCCGTGGGTTCCGATCTCATATAGGGGTGGCTGGTGTGCTCACTGGCTGAGCGTGGTGCAGACCAGACCATGCCAAGGGTTGCAATCCCCTCCCCAGTCAGAAAAAAAAAAAAAAAAGAAATCATAAATTAATTCCATCGTTATTTGTTAAAACTCTATTATGTGCCAGATAGTCTTCTAGGTGCTAGGGATTCTAAGATTGATCAAGGCAGACAAGAGCTTGCTTCAAGTAAGGATGGAGATAGACAATAAACAAGTACAAATTAATAAATAAGACAATTTAAAATAGTCAGAAATATTATAATAAAAATAAAACAGTGCTATTATGTGATGAATTACTCAGAGTGGGGAGCTATCTTAAACTGGCAGCCGTATAAGGCTTCTCTAGGAAGTGACATCTGAGAAGAAATGCAAATGACAAGAATGAATCTGCCATGGCAAGATCCAGAGAATTCCAGGCAGAACAAGTACAGATGCCTCAAGGTAAGAATAATAACGGTGTACTAAAGAAGAGAAAGAAGGCCAGTGGAGCAAGGGAGAAACCACTTAATTGAGAGAGTTTGTTGAGACCAGATTATATAAGACACCATGTGTCATAGTAAGGACTTTACATGTTCTTCTATGGGCCATCTTTCTAAGAGGAGAGTTATATGATTTAATTTATGTTTGAAAAGACCTTTCGCTGCATAGGGAATGGACTATAGGCGGCAAACACTGGAAGCCAAGAGAGTCATTAGAACTGCAGTAGGGCTGGGAAGGGATGTGGAAATATAAACCTTAGCACATTTTAAATATGTGAACTGCATCTGCTGTACTGTAGGTATTTAATATATTTGTAAATGAATGAATGAATGAACAAAGAGCATAATGCTTATAAACATTAAATCTAGCAATGTATTATATTCCTGACTGCATATTTTCAGCCTAAGAACTGAAGCAAAGGAAAGTATTAGGAGTCTTTATGAGAAAACTTAAAATTTTCATTTGTATTTGTTTTCCTAATTAAAATAATTTAAACAATTCGCAAATAAATTAAAACTTCAACAAGAAAATTCTAGACTAGTACTATTCACCAAACATCTCACATTTCATAATGTTAATTCTACAGTTTTTTGGACAGTTATGGTCAGACTAAAAAATAAATAATAGAAATTCTGAAATTAATAAGAATGTTGTCCATTAGTGGCAAAGAAAGGAAAATATGGAAAATATTCTGACTACGTTTGAGATGTTTTTTTTTTAAAGCATATGTTGGGTCTTCTATACACGGGCTATTTATACTGCAATGTCAAATTGTAACTGTTGTTTACTGAAAGTGTCCCCTACCGCCTCCCAAGAGCCAATTGTTAAACTTTCAGGAAATTTAGAAGCAAATTGTTAAAAAACAACATTATTACAATCAAAATTATGTAAACTTATCAGTTAAGTTAAAAAGCTTAAAACAAAGATAGTAAATAATGAAAATATCACTTCCTGATTATTTTACTACATTTTAATGTTATCATTGTTCTCGAGGTTATGTCTATTGCAACTGTGTAGTGGTAATACTATAAATAATGTGCTACTGAGCATCTCTTCCCAGCTCCACATTTAGTGACATCATGAGAGAAGCTTGAAATCAGACATGATGAAAATATTTACACCAAGAAATTAGCACATGCTATAAACTAGTGCTTTCCCTCTTCCCTGGAAGGTCAGTTGCTTAACATTTACCAACACACCACTAGTTATAACTATATGATGTTACTGTCACTGCTAGGGCATCTCTAGCTATAAACTTCTCTTATCTAAATCCCAGAAACTAATTTCTGCTTCATATGAGGAATGAGGAATGAAGGGTAAGGAAATGTGGGTGGCTTCTAGACAGGTAAGGTCAGTGTTCAAGGACAAGTTACTTAGTAATTTTGTACTTTACACCCTCGAGAGAATGTCAACATTTCCCTCTGATTTCCTTTCTTTAAACAGCCACCTGCTAAGTGCAAAACTATTGAAGGGTCAGTTATCAAAGTTCAGAATTTAGAAAATATTTCAAAAATAAAAAGATGAAATTTTCTATCAAGTTTGCAATGACTAAAAAGAAAGACAATAATGTCTGAGTGGTGCAGTGAGAAAATCACTCATAGACGATAATAATTGGAACGAAAATTGATAAATATTTTAAAAGAAATTTGGTGATATAAAAGTAAAACACTTTGTTTCATTATTTAAATTTAACCTGCAAAAAGATTAATTTATAAAAATGTATTCAAAAGATATTATTTATGACAGAAAAAACTGAATGGGTATATAAATTTTGTACATTTTCTCAAAAGAATAGTATGTAATATTTTATTATTATAATTTTATTTTAATTTTAAGTGAAATTTACAACATCATGAATGATGTAGGCAATGTTCATGCAGGAATTGATAAAAATAGGATACAACATGATATACTTGATAGAAGCTAAAACATGAAATTACATATAGAGAGAGTGACTAGAAATAAATTCAACTAAGCATTAACAATAGTTACTTTAGGGTATTTGGAATATCACTGATTAGTCTCCTTTCACATTTTCATAATTTCTAAATTTTCTACAAAGACAATGTTTAAAGTAAAAATAAAAAATTTCAGTGTACTATTCAATACATTGTGATTTTTTTTAAAAAAGTGTATATGTGTTGTGGTAAATTTCATGAAAATATGGCATATATGTGAAGATAACATTTACATTATTAAATATTCTGGCACAGTGTTAAATAATTTTTTGTTGGTTTAACATATAGCATATTCATCTTTTTAGCTATAAATAACACGTTTTCTTCTAAATCTTTTATTCTCATCTTTGATTAGCATGTTCTAGTATTTCATAGTCTCATAAAATTCTTGAATTGCTACCAATTTTAACCTAATATAATTAAAGTATAATTAAACTTTATCACGCATATAGGATGGGAAAAAATGATCAAGATTTAAACAAATTATAAAGTGCTGCAAATCCAAAAAAGAGAAGAAATCACTGCCTTAAATACTTATTTCCAATTAACCAATGCTGCAAGAAATGGAGTTTGCAGAAAAAGGATAGGCTAAGAGAAAAAGAGAGAGGGATAAGATAAAGGAGCTATAATCTACTGCCTCTCTGTTTTATTACTGTATTAATGTGTATAGGACAAGTAAAAGGAGGTTAGAAGAATGTTAAAAATAGTCCAGTGAATTTCCTTTTGGTATGATAGAAGTCTGGATATTATTTAAAAAATTGTATAGATTTAAGTAGCATTTTAATGCATTATGCTGTTTTAATTGTGCTTTTTAAATTTTAAAATATTTAATTGTCAAATTGATTGAATATATTCCAGGTGTACAATGTGATGATTTGATATACACATACGTTGTGTACTGTTACCACAATCAATTTAATTAACACATCCATCACCCATGCCCCAGAATTTGTTCATTTTACAACTGAAAGTTTTTAATTGTGCTTTGAATTCCAGATAATAATCAACAAGTATGTGGTATGTTGCAAATTTACTTTTGTGACTCATAAGGGAAGAAATATCAAGTTTAAAAGCATCCTTGATATTTCAAATCTACCTAGGAAAATATTGATATTGGTGTGAATATTAGGCCTACCTTTATTCTTGGGAATCCATGTGGTGTATATGATTATTATGGTCCATCCCCGACCCCTCCCGCCCTCCTCCCTCTCTCCCCTCCCCCCCCAAGAATGTCCCCCCCCCGTTTACTTGTTGCAACAACCTCAAAAAAGTATAGTTGTTATATCTTTTTTGAGATGACCCAAAATAAATAGATAAAGAGAATGTGTCCTTTTAAAAAATAAATAAAATGAAGCCTTTTTCAATATATTGAAGTGTGTGAAAAATTGCCTCTCAATTTTTTTCACATTTGCTCTAAAATTTGGTATTCAAAAAAACACATGTGTTTTTGGCTGCTGGCTGGTAGGGGATCTGAACTCTTGACCTTGGTGTTATAACACCATGCTCTAACTAATTGGCCAGCCCTGTGCTTTTATTTATTTATTTATTTTGTTGTTGTTGTTGTTTTGGAGGCTGGCCTACACCAGGATCCGAACCTTGACCTTGGTGTTATCAGTACCACACCCAAACCAGGTGAGCTAACTGGCCAGTCCTCAATAATACATGTGTGATATAGAGAATACAAGTACATGGAAATAAGCTTTTCTCTTTGTTCATTTATAGATGGTAAGTCAATATATCAAAAGGTTCACTCTGTGCTGGGACACATTATCATAATCATTGCCAAACAAAAATGAATTAATTCTACCTCTTTAAGCACTGATTATTCTAATTTCTATTCTTTAAAGCAGCTATTCTATTTATCTTACTCACTTGACAGTATTTTCCTAAAATTCACTGAAGATGTTTTTTCATTTCAAAATTTGTCATGGCATTATGCTATCTGATCTGCTATACAGGCAGAATAATGAAGCTGAAATGTTTTTGCCAAAACAGCAAAAAATTGTAAACACTAATCGCTCTTCATAAGAATGAAGCTTGTGTGAAGAATAATCTAGCAATCTTTTAGATACCTTGTATCCTGTCACTGTAGATTCATTTGATAGTGCAACGACATGATCCCAGGTGATTATGTAGCGTGAACCAGATCTGACTGAACTGATGATCCTTGGAGGCTGGCTGGGAGCTGTGAAAAGCAGTAATACGCAATCAGCGGTCACCATACCCAATCTCAGTTCTGCAAACCGCATGGCATCAGGACTTAACATGCTGATGAAAATGATGCAGACAACACCACCACCACTACCTAATTTTGATGAGTGCTCACTGTGTGCTAGGCACTATGCTAAGCACTTTATATCCATGAATTCATTTAATGCCTCCAGTGGCCCTGTGAGGTAAATAACAAAACCATCCTTTATTCTCTTTCATCATGTTCCACTTGAGTTTCTTTCTTCACCTGTCTTTTGAAACTGCTATTTTCAAGGTTAGTGATCACCTTTGCTTGGCCAAATCTAAAGTCACTTTTGTATCCTTTTCAAACGTAACATCTTTGGAGCATTCCATAGATTTGACCCACCTGTCTTTTGAAACTGCTATTTTCAAGGTTAGTGATCACCTTTGCTTGGCCAAATCTAACGTCACTTTTGTATCCTTTTCAAACCTAACATCTTTGGAGCATTCCATAGATTTGACCACTTTCTTTCTTCTAGAGTCTCTAATTCTTTTCTTAAATTAACAACATATTAACCCATGGTTTTCCTTCTGCATCACCGGCTGTTTCTTCTCATTAACCATCTTTAGCTGTCTCTATGTCCTGTGCTCCATCAACTTGTCACTGTTGGAATGACTTAGGACTTGATCCTGCACACCCTTCTCTCCTCTATCTGTGAACCTTCCCTAAGTCCTTACATCTGGACATGTGACTTTAAATACTCACAGTTCTATTTCAAGCTTTAATCTCTCTCTCTTGGCCTCTAGATATAGTGTCCAACTGCCTATGTCTATTTGAATGTCTAAAAGATTTCTCAAGTGTACTATAGTCAAGACAGAACATTTGCTAAGTACTCCCACATCTACCTCTCATGAATTTTTCCTATTTTTAGCAAATGGCACAACCAAACTCCCAGTTTTCCAAGCAAAAATCTGGTATGCAGTCTTCCAGTCCCCTCCTAACCAACATTAAAATTAGCAGCAAGTTGTCAACTTTGCCTGCAGAAAATTTTCCAGTTCTCTCTCTATTCCAGTTATCACTTAGTGCTAACCACCATCAATTCTCTCCTCAACTACTGAAATAGCCTCCTATTTCGCATTTCTATTTTCACTCTTAATGTACTACTTATCCATTTTTCACCTGGAAGGCAGAGTACTTAAAAAAATACATAAATTAGACATAACATACACAGGACATACATAAATTCACTCTCTGCCTTAAAATCTTCCAGTGGATTCTTACCACACTTAGAACCAAAAATCTCTACTATGAGTTACAAGGCCCTCTATATTTTGGCCCTAGCATACTTCCCTCCTCACCTGAGAACCTATGCCCTGGCCCCACTGGCTTTTCTACACCTAAAACATTCCAAGCTCTTCTCATCTTAAGGCTTTCTACTAGTTATTCTCTCTGCCTGAAAAAATTTTCCCCCAGCTCGTCATATAGCAGATCTTATTCTAAGTTAAATGGCATCCTCTCAAAGAAGCCTTGTCTGACTACCCAATCAGAAATTAGGTCCCATCCAAGTCACTTTCAATTTGATCTGTTTATTCATTTTATTGCCCTGTCAATCTGATATGATCACACTTATTTGTTTGGCAGAGTTGTCTCTTTCTGTCAATCTGATATGATCACACTTATTTGTTTTAGGTTTCTGTCTCTTTCCATTAGGTTGTTCTGTCTTCTTTCCATGAGAAGAGAGTCTGGGTCTGGCTTGGTCCCTTCTGTATTCTCACCACTTACTACAGTGCTCAGCATGTAGAATGTTTTTGATGAATGAATAAATGCAAAGAAGAACAAAGAAATGAATGTTCCTTTTATAAATTTGAAAACTGAGGTTTAAAGAGGTATGGCAATTCATCTATCATCAGACATTTAGCAAGTGATAGAGACAGATCTCAAACCCATGTCTGACACCAAAGTCTAGCACTTACCACTATGTTCTATCATCTCATTAGGAGATTTTCTGACCCCCAGGGAATTTCACAAATTTACAAACCCTAATGGTAATCACTTCTTCAGATTCCTGTGAAACTTCTTAGACTCCTGAATACAAATCGTCTTTTTTAATATATTCAACTTGGGTTCAAGAGCAGAGATAGCCAAATGAAACCAGAGAAATTAGAACAACCAGAAAATCTGAGCAGGGTAGATGGTCTTGTTAAATAAACAATGAGAATGTAAGAGAGTAAACACAAGGTGACAACATTTAACTTGAATTTACACTGTGCAATGATGAAGGTCTGTAAATCAAAGCACAGAAAAATAAGCAGAAATTTAATCTTCTCATGCTGTTGATGCAATGCTATGAAAACAGCATTTAAGTTAATAAGTACAGAATTAAGACAAGTTAATTATCTCATGGTGCAACATTTGAGGGGAGTCTTTTACAAAGGGCAGTTCTCTTATTTTATTTCTATAAAGGAATGTTAAATGTATGAAAGCATTCTTCACATTTTTTCAATGTTTTAAAAAAATCTTGTGACTATAAAGTTTATCATTGAAAACCAAATACGCTCAGACAGCCAGGTAGAAATTTTCCCTCATATGTACCTGCATCATGATTGAATCAAGTGCTAGTTTCTGACAAGTCTAAAATCAAAATGTGAGACTCACGTGCTTTCTTGGTGAAGGTCTCGATCACGTCACTTGAAGGCCCACACCCTGCACTATTGCAAGCCCCGACTTCTATAAAGTACTGCGTGTCTGGCAGAAGGTTCTCCAGCCTGGCTGAGTACTCTTGGCTGTTGACTTGAACTCTGTGTGCAGCTGCTTCTTTGTCGTGGGCGGCCCAGTACCGAATCTGCGAACATTCAAGAGCAGTAGTGTTTTGCTCTGATCCCAACTCTTCAGTTGTGAAAAATTCTTTTCAACTGAATCTGTTACCATTGATGTTGGCTGAGCAGCATGTTCTCAATTATTACTCAATGGTATTTACCCTTCTATTAGCCTTACAGTGTGGCAAGCACACAATGCAGATCTGATTAAAGATGTTAAAAGCAAAGTTTCACCTCATTGCCTGAAAACTCTGCATAAGATATACCTTCAAAATATGAAAGTGGTCTCCATTTGGAAGTATAACATTTTTTATCATTTATATCCTGCTTTCTTTCTCTTTTTTTGTCTGGCAGCTGGCCAGTATGGGGATCTGGGGATCCTAAGGCTGATCTTGGTGTTATGAACACCGTGCTCTAACCAACTGAGCTAATGGCCAGTCAACCCTGCTTCATTTGTGTTTACTTGGTTCCAAACTTGTTATGAGCCATTGATAAAGCAATAGGGATAGGACTTTGCTTGACAAAAACAGTCATTATGTGGCCTAGAACAGGCCAGTGTAATACTTTCTTCTAGCTCCTTGGAGAAGTATGTATGTAAAATTATTTACATTGAACCCATACAGAAGTTGGATATCAAAGCTGGATACCTAATAACTTAATAAATTGTAGAATTATTTATCTTTAAAATAATTTTTTAAAAATTTTACCCATGTTGTGATTTTTAATGATTACTTTAGTCAAATGATTATAACCTTCCTTGTCTCTTAAAGCTTAAGAACAGCTATGAATATAATTTTCACTATTCAAATAAAGGCTGTTATTGGGGATTAGAAATCTATAATTATATCTTAAAGTATGAATAAAATGAATAAAAAACTGTAGTTATATCAAGGTATAAATAAAAAGGAAATTCTTTTTTATAATTTTACTGGTATATTATGTATTTTAGATGCTCTGTCTATAAAATAATAAAATTTTAATTTCACAATTAACCAAAATGTCTAGACAAAAATATATAATATTAATATAATCCTGAATCTTTTATTTACACAAATACATATGAAACCATTATAAAATGGTACTGGATGGTTCAAATTCACTTGGCAGAAGTGAGTTTTATATGTAGAATGAGCCTTTTCTGAACATTGAGAAGTGGATGAATACTTCTCCTTTCATCCAAGGCAGGGCAGTTTCTAAGCTGCATTTATAAAGTTCTTCAAAGGTCCCAAGGGATGAAGTACCAATTGCCCACAGTGGTTTCCAATGAGACAAAGCATCTTTCTATCTGAGCTCCCCCCTTTCCTGTTCACTCTGCCTTTTCCTAATACTTGCTCCCTAGGATCATATTTAAACAAACGAACAAACAAAAACAACATTAAAAAATACCTTTTCCTACACCTTTGTGTGAGGCCATGCTTTGGGGAGATTCAGACCAAGACAGATGCTTTCTCCAAATTAACTAAATGAAGCATTTCCTAAATATCACTTTATGCTCACCATAATGATTTAACCTTTAAAAATATTTGAGTAGACTATTCAGGATTATTAATCTCTTACAATGATTGTAAAATATCATCTGCATTAATCTTTAACTCAGTTGCTTAGAGTTTTTGCATTCATTATTCTTGATAGTCTATTTTGCGTATTTTTGTTAAATTAATTAAGTGAATGTTTTACCTGCTGGGTGAGCAAACTCAAGTCTTTCGTGAATTCTTGGGCAGAAGCCCAAAGTTCCAAAATGTCCTTGATAAGAAGAACTTTTTGCATTCTTCTGGCTTACCTGCACTATGGAAATATTTACTGGGTATTAAGATTGAAATTGGAGATCTCTTTAATCAAACTGGAGGAAAAAGTGTTGTACATTCTACTGAGATACACTTTAAAACTGCAAGGGTAGAGAAGATTATTCTTAGACCCACTGCCTGCAGTTCTCATTTGAAATGTCAGGAAATTAACCTTGAGATCAGACAGGATCCAGGGCTTCTCTAGCTTTATATTTTATTTTATGTTTTTAATGTACTGACTTTTTTTTTTCTGTGCATCAATATAACTTAGATCCATTGCACATTTTCATGGGAAGTACAGTGGGGTACTGGTTTTGATGATCATCTCTCTTATTAAATGATTGGCTTTTCCCATCATATTTTAAAATAGAAACAATGACCACATTATAGTCAGTCAAGATTTCCCCCCATACATTTACAGAAGCATGTTCTTACAGGAGAATAAATGATAATGGATTTTCTCAATTCGTGCTTGTCTCTTTGATATTCAAGGCTCTATGTGAAAGACTTAAGAAAAATGAGTGAAAACAATAATTCTATGATTTATTTTCAGAATTTTTAATCAAACATTCTCTGGAGAGGCAAGACCTAGATTAAAATCTGGTTATGACAATTATTACTCACACAAATGTTTCTAAGCTTCAAGTCTCCCATCTTTAAAATGGGGACAATAAACTTGGGATTGTGTGCATTCAATACAAGGAGCTTAATTATGTTTTAAGCATAGTAAGGATGCAATAAATGTTATAATTCTTATCATTACTAACATCATCATAATCATCTTCATCATAATCTTCATCATTGCCATCATCATCATCATCATCAACATTGTCTTCAAATGCCCAGTGACATAGAGCAGGGAAAGCATTAAATGCAGGTTATTTAATTTCTTCCATATAATAGTCCTATGATGCAATGATTACTCTCTCAGCTTCAGAGGTGAGAAAACTAAAAAAAATTCAAATAAATTTTTTCCACAAAATTCCTATGTGACAGACCTGAAATATAAATCCATATCTGCTCAGCAACAATGATCATAACTTTCTACTTAGTGTGGAGTTCAAAAAGTCAGAAATTTATAAAAACAAATTTTTCCATGGCACACACCACTTTTCCTTTGAAATTATCATTTGAGAAAATCTTATTTGCTAAAGATTATTTTTTGCTATTTGAGAGTCCTAATTGAGGTTTACCTCCCAATCGAAAAAGTTTAAATTCTGATTATTATCTGAATTCATTGGTACTACTGTATTGCTTCTCACCTCCCATTTCCTTGAACTATGCTTGTTGGAAGTTATAAAACAGTCATATATAATTCTTGGTATAGGCAAGGACAATATTGCATTCTCTAGCACTTTGATTCAATGATATAGGTTATATTTTAAATTATCTTAAACATTTTTTTAATTAGTTGGAAAATAATGTAAAAGAAGAAAAAATCCTGTGGCCAAAATTTGACTTTCCAAGCTCCAAATATTGATATCTTCTTCTGGACATACCTTGAACTTATGTATCACAGGGGTTTGTAACATCTAGTGAATCTGTCTTTCCCACTTCTTTCCTACTAGTTGTAAAAGTGTCAGTTTAGTAAGTTTTGAATATTGGGTATTCCCAGTCTACTCCTTTCATTCCCAGTTCATCCTTAACTACCCCTTTGTAATAAATTTAGGCAAACCCTCGCAAAGACTATCTGAAGACACTATCTTGAGATTCATTGAGCACTTTATGAGCTCTACCCAAATCCTAATCCATGATGCCAAAAAAGCTTTCTGTTAGTCTGGGTTTTTCTGCTTAAAGACTTGGGTTGCTTTTTTGGCTGCACCTCAGAAACATGGCCTTGAGAAAGACAAGTCGTAGCACTACATTTGATCATACTTCATTATTCCTATCAATACTCAGTGAATATTCACTCAGTGCCTCCTACCTCATGTCCAGCACTGTTCTTGGCACTGAGAACAGAACAGACAAAATCCCACCCACATGGAAGTAATATTCCATGGATATTTGGAGAAGGGGGAGCACAAGAATCGAGAGGGCAAGCTGGCTGAGTGGGCAGCTCCAGAACAGCATTCACTGTCCTCTCACTGAGCAAAGCAAGAGAAACTCTGTGGTGTGGCATAAGTCCTGCACTTAGAATCAGAAAACTGGTTTTAGACATTGATCTGGCACTTTTTATTAGTGACAACTGAGGCAAGTTGTCCAATCTTTTCACTATCCATTAGCTCATCTGTAGAGGTAAGATGATGCCAATTCCTTTGAATTTTCGCTCCTTGTGCTCAAAAATATGAGATGACTTCAATTTTCTTACATAACCAAGTCTAAATAGAGTTAGTGTTGTATTGAATACCCCAACTCTTTTTCTAGTTTCCATTTTCCAGTTCTTACTTCCTTTGACTAAGACAACCTCCCCTTTCTATCTGGTTAATCCCTGTGGGTCCTTTAAGACTCAGCTTGAGGGAAGTTTCTTTGGGATATTTTGATTGTTGCCAATTTTTCCCCTTCAAGATAACTTTATGAGACACGTAGTTGGTATAATTATAATTACTTCTTTGGGAGATACTTTTAGAAGTGGAACTACTAGGTCAAATAGGGTGACCATTTTAAGAATGTTGTTATAAATTACCAAAATGCTTTCCAAGAAGCTTGAGATTCATCAGCATATTATGAGAATGTTTGTCTTAAAAGATCTTGGCTAACCATGAGTGTTAATTACCTTAGTTTTTATTTTGGCCAATTGTTTGCCAGTACATAGCTCTTTTATATCTCTTTTAGATAAGCCAGTTAGGAACCTGCATTTTACTCTTAACAATTAGCCTATAAATATGCCAAAATGCCAATTGTTTGCCAGTACATAGCTCTTTTATATCTCTTTTAGATAAGCCAGTTAGGAACCTACATTTTACTCTTAACAATTAGCCTATAAATATGCCAAAATACTAAACATAGAGAATATAGTGTTAGTTGTCGCATAAATTGATGGGACACAAAACATTGAAAGGTGCAATATGTTTGAAAACTTATGTTCATATATTTACGGATAAATGTATTTCATTTGATAAAAACTGAACTCACCTGATAGCTTTCCACTATTTTTCCTACAACATGCTTCCAATGAACAGATATCTCAGAAGATGATAAGACATTTACACCTACTTCTGTTGGGGCTTCATTGGGAGCTGAAATTTCATGAGAACATTACGTTCTTAGTAAGATGCTGACATAAAGAAATTCAGATAACACCATTTGCTATATAAATGAGTTAGAACTACATTTTAATATTGCCAAAATAGCTTTAATATTTTTGAAATAAAATAAGTCCAATAATTTTATTACCGCTTCCTCTACTTTTACTGATGTTATTTTATTTCATGGTTATTGATGATACATGCAAATACACATATTCATATATATGAATGTTAATATAAATTTATACACACACACTTTTATAGCATATGGAAAGCTTCATGACTTTCTTACTAGTATCATGAGTAAGAACTGTACTAATTCTTATTTCTCTCAACTGATATGCTTAAGAAAGCCTGTTGATGAAAATTAAAGTGAATAATATTTAGCTTATAAACACTACATTATCAAAAATAGGAAATGTGGTATTTATTAAATAAAATTATTCATTACACTTAATTTTCTCTTGTTATTTATATAAGCTCATGATATACAGCAATATTATTAATAAAATTTCTCTCTTATCTTAGGCTAAAATCTTAAAAAAGTTTTTTTCTAAAGATATTTTGAAACAAGTTGTGACATCCACTGTTTCTTGGACTCAAAAAGCTTTTTTATGTCTAATCTTCCAACTGGGCAGCAAGTCAAATATGTATCAAAAGGTCTCTGTTCAGGGGGAAAGAAAAAGTAATTTATATCCTTTATGAAATTTACACAAAGAAACCAAGGAAACCCTTAAGCAGGGGTGATCATTTTTTATTGTCTTTCATTAAAATGCCATAATCCTATTTAATGTTAAAAAATGTTCTACACATGAACACTGTTGCCTTTTTAAAGCAAGATAAACATGCAGCACCATGATTGATTTTTTTAACAGTAGAAGAAAAGAATTAACACATACAAGTTTCAACACATACAAGTTTTATAAGACATAAAATATTTAGTAAAGAAATGTAATTAAATATGAAAGGCCACAACTAAATTGATGACAAGCATGGCCTTTCACCTGAAAGCTTACTTTAGTGCCAAATAAAGCATTAAAAAATTGATATTGGGTGTATGATAACTTGTAAAATGCATTTAACTTTTATTTTCTCTGTAAGATGTACATACAGTATTCAAATTATTAAAATTGAGTCAAGCTATTCATATTTATGTTGAACAAGCACAAGCATAGAGAATGTATGATTTGTTATCATGATTTTTGCATTGTTTGATTATAAACTTAAATTATATCTGTTTTTTATTCTTTTTATGTATTCAGTTGAGCTAACAAACTTTAAAAATAATATATATGTATGCATATATATGAGTATACATATGTGGCAGCCTTTTATGTTTGTATTTTTAAAATAAATTTTATTATGTATATTTGAGGTATACAATATGATGTTATGAGATGCATATATAGTAAAATGGCACCTTTGTACTGAAAGTAAAGATCATGGAATGACGTGAATACATATTATGTTTTTAACAATTATGAAAGCTAATAAATCTATGACTGAAGAGCACATGTGAGAATTTCTGTTGAGTTCTAAGGGATAGATAAGTGTTCATTTTAGAGTAAAAATAATGCAAATTGAGTAAACCAATTAAGCATTTTTCCTCCTAGAGCACAGAAGAGTAACTTGCGCAGTTTTATTATTTGAACTCTTTCATCTGTGCTTTTCATACACATGCAAAGAGAAAGTTGGCCAGTGGGTGAATGTGTTAGATCAGAAGGCAATGAAATCTCTACTTGCTTCTCTAGCCATTACTTACGTACATAGTGCACAAGTAAAGAGACACAATAAGGAGGTCTTATCTTTTTAATAGAAATATAAATAATAAAAAGCATAGAAGCTTAAGTAGGAAATCATAGGCAACAATGTAATTATGTTTAATCTAAAACCGTATGTCATTTAGCATTGATATATAAAGTCCTCTACAAGAATGTTCAGTTGAGTTAAAGTTTCTAGAAAAACAAAGAGGGCCGGTATCAATATTGTTTTTTCCTTAAATTACCTACAGGACAAAAATTTCCCTTCTCAAGAAAAAATTTCAACTGACTTTCTGATCCTTTTTTCATATAACTATGTTCAGATTCCCTTTAATAAAACTCCAACATGCCATTGTGATAACAAGTAAAGTTAAGTTGCATAAATCCTACCATTACACAAATTTTGGGTTAAAATTTTGGGAAATTTTACAAATAGTATACATGTTATAGATTTTTTAAGTAGTAAACTTTATGAATATAAAGAAATACTGAGGTTTCAATCCAGTATGGAGAATTTCTGACTACAAAATTGTAATCGAGAGGCCAGAGACAGGAATCTAAATCAATTATTTTAGTGGAGATTTCCTAACTACCATGGATGTGATTTAAAAGATGAGAAAGATTTTAGTGACATTCCTGTCATTTAGATAAAGAGATTGGCATTTTAATTTGGGTCAAAATAGTATTCATTTACTAAATTCATAGTATATAAGAAAGTCTTAGTAAGTAAGGTGTGAAAGAAAGCAAATTAAATGCCTACCAGAGAGAATTAGGTTTTCCTTCCCTCATCATGATAGGAAGGTCTTTCTTTTACCTACCGTCCTGTGCCGAATTAATGACTGCTATAAGGCTGTAAGGTCCGTCTCCTTTGTTGTTGAAGGCCTTAACTTTTACTTGAAACTCAGTGAAAGGACTCATGGTTTCATCTTTATGAACATATCGGCCAGTGTCTGGATTAGTAACTGTAACTTTTTTCCATTCTTCTCCATTAAATGGCTTAAATGCCACTATGTAACCGAAATTGTTGCCATAGTGGTATTCTCTTGACAAAGGCTAAATAGAAATTAAAAAATTACATAGGTTTCAGTGATACAGTTAACAGGGGCCAAAATCTTAGGCAAATAATGATATACTTGGAAGCATGCTCTTTGTAAAAACATATGTCGTTCATAAGTTAATGCTGGTTGAAAATGCCAGAGCAAAAACACACTCAAACATAAGGCGACCTCATTTACCACCTGGTATCCTTGCTCTTCCTGGAACACTCCAGGGGGCTCCCACTCTGAGACTTTGACTTTCAATTCCTTCTGCTTAGGATGTTCTCCTAGATGTCATATGACTCCCTCCCTCCCTTTCTGGAAGTAAAAGTCACCTACTTAATGATGTTTTCTCTGGCCACGAAATCTGCCATTTCATGACTCCTTCTGCAATATTCCATATCCCACCTCCCTGCTTCATTTTTTCTCTTTAACACTATCATGATCTAACACTATATATATCTTACTTATCAACTTCATTGTCTCTCTCAACTGCTAGAATACAAGTTTCATAAAGGCAGAGTTCTTGTCAGTTTGATTTTTCTCTTTATCCCTAGCACCTAGAAGAGGACCTCTAATAATATGTATTTAATGGTTCATTGTCTCTCTCAACTGCTAGAATACAAGTTTCATAAAGGCAGAGTTCTTGTCAGTTTGGTTTTTCTCTTTATCCCTAGCACCTAGAAGAGGACCTCTAATAATATGTATTTAATGAATGAGTAAATCTTTTTTTAGAATTGGAAGGCAATGGTAAGAGAGTTATACAAGATGCTGGAATGTCTATATAGTAATCAGAAGGAAACAGGTCTGAAGAATAAAAGAGAAGGTGACAGGAGGAAGAGGGTACACTGCTCTCATGAGTAGGAGGCTGGCTTTAGGCTCCTGTCTAACCCCAACCAATTTTGCACCATTTTCTCACAGTTTATTACTACACATGTCAATTGCCCAATAAAGAAGTCTATGTCAGCCCTAACAATCATATAAATCATATAAACTGACTTAAAACCAGTTCTAGTGAGTACTTGCCATTTGGTGTTCTTTAGCCATAAGATAAATGTACAAGTTGTATATTGACATTTTTCACCAGAAAATCAAAGTTAAGATGTTTTAGGCAAAAACCTTGAACTAAATACAATGCAGTTACTTGGATATAGTCACGTCAAATAAGAAGATACAGGAATGTTTAAAGGTCAAAGGGTAGAAGCTATATTTGGTTGCAGAGTATAGATACCTGGAAGCATGATCTCAAGGTTGTACAAAATGTGATTTTAGATTATTAGACAGTTAAAACATTCCTAACATTTCTACAATAGTCTAAACATTTTTCTTATTGATAATTTCCTACTTAGATTTTGGAATTTAAAGTATAACAGAATGAGCTATGGAGCTTTCAAAAACAATACTTCTCAGGCAGGCCCCATCTCCGGAAATGTGATTTTGAATTTTTTGGACAAGAATTTCCAATTTTGAATATCTTGACAAGGCTAAGATATGCTGCCTGGATAAAGGCCAGATGTCTAATTCAGAAAAGTCTGTGCTATCACAATCTTTCCTACCCACTCCAAATATCTCTCCTGTTTCAGAAATCTGGCTAAGATGTATTGTTTTCCAGAGATTATTGTCTCTGATATAGAACTCCCTTTTGGGTCATAAAAATTAATAAAATGTTTTGGATACCTCAGGAAAAAGTCCCTTGGGTGACTTCTAAGACTGCCCTATCGTGATAGATTACACTAGTGTTCAAAGCAAGCCTCAAGTGAGGAAGCAGCCTCCAGCTTAAAATTGGAATTTGATATAAAGTTTGAAAATTGAATCTTTGGAGTTGAGAATGCCCAGAAAAAAATACTATAAATTACAATTGGGTTACCAGAACACAATGAGATCAACATTTCTCTGGAATAAGATAGTAGAATGTTTCATCTTCCAGGCTAACAGATCTTTTACCATCCAGGATCCATTTTTGCATAGGAACTAATACTAAACCATAGTAAGCCAGATAAAATCTGATATGCAATTAAGAGGAAAAAAATAGTAATCTACTCTTGTTTAGGCATTGGGCATTCTCTTTTACTTCAATTTATTTCAGGAAACAAAATGGATTTGAGATTAACTATAGATAAAGCACACTATAACGTGTGCAACTTATCAATACTTACTGCCCATGTTATGGTCAGCTCTCTGTTGCTTCCACCCCCGCCTCCTACATCTGAAGGTGCCACATTTGGTGCTGAAACAAACAAACAAGTATTAAAAACAACAACAAAAATAGAGTGTTTTTTTTTTCTGATGTTCGAGTATTTATCCACTGCAGAAACCACAAAATTTTTCTTTTACTAAGAAAGACAAGCTGCATGCATGATCCACTCAGTTATAACAACAATGGCTCACAGTAGCTGTCAAAATCTATTTTTAGTGCCAAGAGAAAAATAGATTTGGTGTCATAGGAATTCTGCTGATTTCCCACAGCAGAGGAGAGTGAAGTAAATTTGCATCCCCCATTTTTTTTCTTTCTGTGTCATTTCATTTAATATAATTTTAAAAGATGAGATATACACTGTTGGGAAAATATTTTATAGCTTTTACTATGGAACTGCATTGACATTGGATAATGTCTCCAAATACCTGGAAATACAAGAAATTTAATATTTTCTCTTGTGCTCTCACTTCCAATTCCTAAATCTCTTCTGGACTTGTCAGTGACTCCAACTCCCTCCCCCGCGGCCCCCCATGCTCTTACATCATCCTGCAGTCTCAGTCTCTCTGCTGGAGAGATTCAACTCTCTGAAGTCTTTCTGTTCTTAAAAACCTTCCTGCAATACTGCTTTCCTCTTAAACCCCAAGCCATCGGACCCTTTCCTGTCACTGAATTGCACAGAAGAACTGGTATATGATTACTTTTTGTACCTCACTCCATAATGACTTTTTAACAACTCACAATCTGTTTCCATTTCTTCACAGTACTGAAATCATTCTTTCAAAAATCACAAAATTGCTTTTTACTGCCAAGTCCAATAGCCTCTTCTTCTTTATCTTCCAAGGCATTCTCTCTCCTTGAAACTCCTTCAGGGGAGGCACTGTATCTTATTAGATTGGTACCCTTAGCCCTTAACTGGAGTTGTACAGATGAATAAATCTTTGTTTCTACACTCGAAGAATGACTCAGCTACCCAGCTAGGTGGATGAAGCCTG